ACACCGACTAGGCCCGTTGAAATAGTTCAGTGATGTATTTGCGACATTAGATGGGGAGAAAACGAAGACAAATCAGGCTCTGCACAGGCCCATGTGGTTGGTACACAGTCTAATTCTACTAGCATCCGGGGCCCAGAACTGCGTCCAGTGGGGGAGAACCAAGGTGTGGTGTGTCAGCTTTACCTGAACGTCCACGTAAGCCAAAGCCCACATTCATTGTGTGAGATCTCACCCTTCTCCCAAATTCCAGGTTCTCATCAGAGCAGCTGCTGCCCAGGAGGCAGAGTGGGTGGAGGTTACTGTGGGCACAGCTGCCCAAGTGTTGCAGTTCTCTCTCCGCCTCTGGCCGGCTGCCGTTGGCCTTCTCTCAGCCTGGTCTGGTGTTGCAACAGCTTGCTTTTCCAGGTTCTGCCGTAAGCAGTTTCATCCTTCCCAGCAGAAGTTCAAGAGGTTACTAAAAGTATTCTGAGGGCCAGAAGTCTTCCAAGGGAACGGAAAACGAGGCTGTCCCATGGTTTGAGGTCAGTCCGTGGCAGGATTATGTTCACCTGCACTTTTACTGACCGTGACACAAGGAGGAGAAGTTGCTGGGGCGCATCCTGGAAATGGAGCTGGGGCCATTCTTGACTCCCATCTCAGTGGCCCCGTGTGGTGGTGGCCTGCTGTCTAGGCTACGAAATCAAGGGGCCTGATTTCGGACCAGTAAATAGCAGCTTCCGCCCCATAAGCTCCACGCTCACCTGTCTCCAGCTCACTCCTAAGGAGTCCCAGACCCTTCTGCCTCTATGATGAGGCTGCAGATTTAAAAGCCTCTGCTCCTTAGAACGCCTTTCTCTGCCTAACACCCTACTATGCCTGTCCTGAAACCCTGTGCTGCTTTTTCTCACAGCCCCTAAACTGCCTCATTTCTCTGCTGGAAAACCCAGAGAAGCCAAGTCCTGGAATCCTTTACTTCCTGCACGCCCTTTTCATAGGGCCCTTGTGCCTCTCTCCCAGGCCACCCCTTGGCATATGGAGCGGACAGCACTCCCATCTGAGACCCTTCCCAAGGAGGCAGGGGCCTTGCAGTGTGTTAGAGCTGTGGTGAGCCCTGAATCAGGTCTGGGTTGGATTCCCACCCTGGGCTTGACCTCTAGGCTCAGGTCCTTCTCACTCCAGGGAGACGCCAAATAGATTTCCTGATCCCCTCTGGAGTGAGGAAGGGTCTAGGTTCTCACAGGCTAAGTGGAATGTGCTGGGCTTTGCTGGGGCTAAGGACTCCCTGGCCTATGTTGCACCCACCTGCTCTAGGAAGACAGACCTGGGGAAAAATGGAGGGGAAGGAGGCGTTGTGGGGTGAGGTCAAGGCCGGATGACCTGGGTCTGAGCTTTGTGTTTGTGCCAGCCTCCTACCTTGTAAACTGGGCAGTTGATTAGCTCACAGGCTTGTCAACGAGGGAAAATGGATTTATGTGTGTGAAAGGACTGTGCACAGAGAAGAGTCTCCAACATGTCACTGACCACAAAGAGCCAGCTCAAGCCTTGGGCTCACCAAGGAGTGAGAGAGCCTGAGGGAACCGCTGAGGAGCTGTCCCCCAAGTCCTGGGATTGCCTTCCTGGCTCCCCAGGGCTCCCTGGAGGCATGTAGCTTGTCAGAGCTGGGTTTATCCCGAATCATCCAGGCATGTACGACCTGCTAGGTGACAGGTGGGGTTTCCTTGAAGCCTCCCAACCCCATTCCCTGTGCCCATCCTCAGCCTTTCCCTGAAACAAGGTCAAAGGGTCCTTCCCATCATGCCCTGGGCCCTTCCCAAGAACCTTTGCCTAGATCAGGGGTTGGCAAACTTTTGAGACGGAAGAGTCGCCATGGGTCAGCAAATTTTAGTTTGCAAGTCACATGCGGCTCTTTGGGTACGTACATGTGACTCTGAAGTAAAATTGAAAATGAAAATAAAACTATCATAGTTTCATTTATAAAATTTTAAAAGGATATTATTCACATAATGGTGATTGCGTTTGTTTTATAGGTCTCACAAAACTTCAAGGGACAGGATTGGCTCTTCCAGGGATCAGCAAACTTTTGAAACGGAAAGTACCCAAAGAGCCGCATGTGGCTCACGAGCCGCAGTTTGCCGACCCCTGGCCTAGAGGCAGTGGGACCCAGGACCCCAGATGGAGCTACTTTTAGGCTATTTAGCATACCCGAGCTAAGGGACCTTGCTCCTCTGGGGAAGCAAAAATGGAGGCAGGGCTTGGGCACCATGGTTTACTCTCAGGTGTCCATGTTCTGCCATTACTGCAGCATCGCATTAAAAGCAAGACACCTGGGCTCCTTTCACTTGGGCCCTGTGCTGCGCGCTGGGGATGGCAGTAGGTCAGGACAGACACTGTCTCTGTCCCCACGTTGCCCACTGTCAGACAGAGAAGAAGAAGAACTGAGTGATCACGGTGAAGTGTGATGAAACCCAAAACTGATTTCACTGTTGTTTCTTCATGGTAAAGTAATGCAGACTGCTTGCAATAGCAGCTAACACTTAGTGAGGGTGTAGTGGGCAAGGCACTCACTCACTGTTCCCTGTGTGCCCACCAGCTCAATATAGACAGCTCAGTATAGAACATTTAAGATGTTCTGATTTTACAATGGCATGAAAGTGATATCAATTGAGTAGTAACTGCACTTTGAATTTTTAATTATGATCTTTTCTCGGGTTAGTGGTAGCAAGTCACAACTCCCAGTCATTTCTGATTCCAGGTACGCGATCACGAGGGTAAACAACCCATACTCTGTAGTGTATCCATTGTGTGAGATGATTCTGCCCAACTGTAGGCTCCTGTAAGTGTCTGAGCACATTGAAGGTAGCGAGGCTAACTTATGACGTTTGGTAGGTTAGGTGTATTCAATGCATTTTCCACTTACGATATTTTCAGCTTATGGGTTTTTTGGGACATAACTGCATCGTAAGTCAAGGAGCTTCTGTATCACCCCATTTCACAGATAACGAAACTTTTTATTGCTGACTAGTATTCACTGATGAATAGACTACAATTTGTTTATTCATTCTTCTATTGGTGGACATCTGTATTGTTTGTAGATATATACATATATATCTATATCTGGATTTAATATATATATACACATATCAAATACATTAATTATATATTTTAATAATGTAATGTTTTATAATTAATATATTAAATATATATTACAAATACATAAAATATTAAACTTTGAATTTTGAGATAATTATTAATTCACAACTGTAGGAAATAATATAGAGAGCCTGTGTATCCTTTACCCAATTCCCCTTGATAACATTTTGCAAAACTGTATAGTACACCATAACGACCAGGATATTACTACAGTCAAGATACAGAGCATTTCCATCCTCACAAGGATCCCACTTGTTGCCCTCTTATAGCTATTCCCACTTCCCTCCCCCCCCTCAATCCCTCCTTAACCCTTGGCAACCATTGATCTGTTCTCCATTTCTATTATTTTGTCATTTCAAGAATATTATATAAATGGAATCATATAGTATTATACATAACCTTTTGGGATTGTTTTTTACATTCAGCATTATTCTCTGGATAATCATCAGGTTGTTGCAAATATCAGTAGTTCCTTCCGTTTTACTGCTGAGTAACATTCCCTGGTAAGGATGTACCACGTATTCTT